GGAGCTTTCAAATTTGGGACCCTGCTTAAGCTTTGTGAGCTTTGCTGGCACTTGGCTAGCAGGTTGGAGTTGCATTGCTGCTCCTGCTTTCTTTCATCAGACAGGCTGAGAGAAGAGGTAGCAGAAGAAACCTTTGTTTGTGTATGTGTGTGTGTGTGAGAGAGAGAGAGAGAGAGAGGACACTTGAACCTGAATGGGGAAGATGTCTTCTACTCTGAAAGCATTTCTAAAGAGCAGGGTACAAATAATAATAATAATAATAATAATAATAATAATAATAATAATAATAGAGCATCTGTGCTCAATTATTGGAAAGAGTCCTTTGTCTTGGAGTGGCTCCTATAGTTAAAATCTCTCCTTTTCTTCACCAGTCTCCAGTCCAGAGCATGTGGCCTCTATAAACCCTGACTGCGCCTTTCTCTGGTCACCCTGGGAGCAGCACCTGAGCAGCTGGCTGAGCAGGATGACAGGTAGCTATACCATAGCTCTACCTTTGTTGAACTTTATGATGTATCTCCAGATCCAAGATCATAGCCCCTGTGTCTACTCCAGCAAGATGGTGTTTGATACATTCATTGCCACAGTGCAATATACGGTGTTATAGGGGAGTGCTGTATAACACCTTGTGGATGTTATACCCTGTAACACCCTGTGGATCTGCCCATTCCATGTGCAGGGTGAGGTGGGTGCTGTCCTATATGAGACAAAATATAACTGGATCCTGAGTGCACTCCTGATTTCAAACTGTATAGGCTGCACACCTATGCTCTGGTTAAGGAAGTCTGGAACCTAGTGACTGAAGCTGGTATTGCAGACTTCAAACATGCAGAACCATGTAAATTAAAATTAATAAATGTACATTAAAATCCAAATTACTTTGAGGTGCCTACCTCCTTAGTCTACATGTGAAGTTACAAATCTCACGTTTGAACTACATTCTAACATAATGTAGTTATACTTTCATTTTTAAAGAAAAGACATTATAGCAAAGAAATTGTTATTTTGTTAACTAGTTACTCTCAAGCTCTAGATAAAAGGGCAAGCTGTGGCAGGCTATAACAAGGGCCATGACATGAAAGAAAGAGCAAAAATGAATCCCAGTTAGTCAGAAAGTTGACTGTGAAGCAAGACAGGCTGAAATGGGGTCACTGGGAATCATACTGACAAGCTTGGAAGCTTTCCACCTTCTACTGTAAACAGTTAAAGAGCAAGCAATGGAAGGAGGAAAGAGCGATTTAATCTCCTTCTAGGAACAGATTCTCAGAGAAGAAAATAAACTCTTTAGTAGAAATCCACAGTAACAGTGGTGGTAATATAGGAACATTGTCAGTGTAGGACAGCATGCCCTCCAACTTTTCACAGATGAAAATTGGGACACCATGGCCAATCAACATTAGATTGTGGTCAAGATGACACAAGTTATTAATGAGGAGGAACACACAAGCTAGGAAAGGCTGTAGCAGTTTTCTGTCTGAAGCCACTGGCAAAGGGAAGATTTCACCCCTCCTCTCCTCTCCTCCCCTCCTGAGTTAACTGAGTGAAAACTACCTTTGCACTATGAACTCAGGGTATAGTCACAGTGCAGAATTCAAACAGTTTGACACCACTTTAACTGCCATGACTGCATCCTGCAGAATCCTGAAATGTGTAATTTGGTGAGATATTCAGCCTGGGTGGACAGAGAGCTCTGGTACCTCAGAAAACTACAAATCCCAGGATTGTGTCAGATACAGTCATGGCAGTTAAAGTGGTCACAAACTGCTTTAATTCTGCAGTGTGGCTACATGGTCTGCAGCATTTGAAGTAAGCTAAAGACCAAAGTTTTAAAGTGAGAAGAAGAGCAAGAAATTGGAACATTTTGAAAGTATCTGAAAAAGTGGGATGGCAAAGGATCAATCTTTCCCTGCCAAACTGGGAGAGTTCGATGGTATCTCAGAGAGGACACAGAAAGAAGAGAAACCTGATTAGGCCTTGTGCATACTACTTTTTTCTAGCCAAGATTTAGCCCCCTGCACCCCTCCTCTTTTTCAATATCAAGTTGATATCAAAAGGGATGTTTTAGGCATGTAGCCAAGAAGGCAGACCTAGTGCAATAAACTAACCATGCCATATAAGGAATCATGGCTCAGCATGAGGAATGCTCAAGAGCACATGGCCAGGATAGATCAATCAAAATCAGCATCTACATAATCTCTTAATAGGAGTGATTGTGGGTGACAGACCTTATGCTTACAAATGAAAGGAAACCCAAATACACTTTCCTCTGGAAAAGATACTCCATTGTTCAGAGACATTTGCACTGATTGTCCAGTCTGACTTCCCTCCTCATTCTTCTCTCCTGGAAACTTTATTTTAATCCCAAAATCTGCCCCAGGATATGTTCTGCCCTATAAATATGCCTGCCAAAGCACCTCCAATTCAGTCTCTCCAAAGCTTCAGACAAATCCTCTGACAGTACCTCGCTTGACTCCTCAGCATTTCACTTTACAGTGTCTCCAACTGAAACCCTGTTTCTAGAACCAGTACACACAGGAGCCCTGGTGGCACAGTGGTTAAATGCCTACTGCAGCCACTCACTCACAAACTGGAAGGTTGTGAGTTCAATACCAGCCAGGGCTCAAGCTCAACTCAGGCTTGCATCCTTCCAAGGTTGCTAAAATGAGTACCCAGCTTGTTGAGGGCAATTAGCTTACATATTGTAAACCACTTAGGGAGTACTTTAGTGCACTGATAAGCAGTATAGAAATGTACTTGCATTGCTATGGCTATTACTCTCTGCAATCCTTAAAGTCTATTTGTTAGCACCTTTTATATCATTAGTTTTTGTGAGTGTGTGAGAGAGAGCATGCTTTTGTGTGTGTGGTGATTCTATTTTACAAATAATACTACATTTGGACTTTGCGTTCTGGAGTTCTATTTCTCAGAACTGGTATACACAGGCTTCATCCCTGCTTTGAGTTGCTCAAGCCCTCCCGGCTCCTGTAGTTGAGCTAATAAAATTCTTCTATTAAATATTGATTGTGGGTGCCCTCCCAAGACCCTGACATTTTGGGTAACATATTGATTGAACAGCATCATATATAGTGCTGGTGATAATACAACAGCCAGTTAAACTTTCCCAGCTTTCAGGCTCTATTTCTGTTCTAGAACTTGATATCATGGATTAAGGAAACTTCATGAAGGATGATAAGTTAAGTTAGGACTTTCAGTGCAATCTCAGATTCATTTATAAAGTAATAGAAGTTTTCATTACAAGCAATGAAGGAGACCGGGGAATTGAGCAATTACAATTTGGAGGGGGGACAGCAGTCTCAGCACATAACACTATGCATGTTGACTCAAAAGTAAGTCCCAAATAAATGTTGATCTGATCTGGGGTGGATCAGGAATGGGCTTCAGTCCATGAAGTCTTGTTCCAAACAAATCCTGTTAGTCTTTAAGGTATCACAAGATTTTTTGATGTATTAACTCAGTGGGACTTACTTCTGTGTAAACATGCTTAGAAATGAGATACTTTATAAATAAGTTTTGGGGAAGGAAATTGTTTTTCAGGTCTAACAGACATTCAGGTCTAAAAGGCCATTCTGAAAGGGCACAACTATTATGAAATAATTGTATTTTATACCATGATATATGACCAGACATAATCAAGAAAGGAGGTTACTGAAGTTACAGAAGGGAGTCACAATGCAAACACACGAACCCTAAAGACTCAAAGACTTTCTTTTTACAGACTCATTCCATAAAGGGGAACATTTTGAAAGTCCCTGGCTGCGTGAGGGCTTTATTTTTCCACTGAGCAAAAAATATCACTCAGCTTCATTCCTTTCCAAGACTATTTTTTTCTTCTTCTTTTCATTATTCTTTTTTCCTTCTTTCCTTAACTCAGTTGCTATACTCTACAAACCCAGCTATCTCGTCTGAGCTCCAAAAATATTCTCCCTCTCTTCCATACTCCCTGCTGTCTTCAGAAAGAAATCACAAAGATTAGTCTGCCTAACAAGACAATAAGGAAACACATTTCCTCCAACTCTAATATTTATCCTCCTGAGACAGTAGGCATTTTTGTTTTACAGATTTGACAGAGAGTGAAGCACCATCGTATGAATCCTAACAACGTAATTTGGTTAACTATGTTTTTATTACAGTTTTTTCTCTAGTGAATTCACTAGAGAAAAAGTGAATTAATAAGTTAATGAGCTTATCAATGTGTTAATTCTAAGCTCTGAGCATAAACCACCAAGTGAATTCCAGGCCAATGCCACATTAAGAGGTCACCAGGATTTGGAAGAGGGGTTGTGCAGTACTTCAAATGTTGTTTATTTACAATGCCTAGCATCATTCTCCATTGGCTACACTGGCTAGGACTGTGGGGAGCTGCAGTCCAAAAACATATGGAGGGCCACATAATTCGTACCCTTCATTTAGACCATCACTTGTTTACCTTCAACATTCAAGATCTATTCACAAATCTTGTTTCAGTAAGGGGGAAACAGGCCATTTGGGTTGTGCTCTTTCTCTTACAGTGTCTGTAATTCCATTAACCAGAATCAAGTAGAGTAGAAATAATTATTTTCCTGTTTTTTTTTAATCCAGCGTAATACATGAGTGTTGGGGAAATATTTTTGATCATGGGCACATATTGCTGATACCTGGCCAATGTATTCCTCACCACTACCTAAAATTCTGCCCAACTACTCTTTACTTTGGCTCTCCCTCACAACCTATATTTCTCCCTGTCATCTGTAATTCAGTTCCCTGCAAACCTCTTGCAAGATTTGTAGTTTATTTATATCAGACCAGTTTTCCCATTTATGAAAAGGTATTTATGCTACAGGTTTAATCCTGGCGTTATCTTCTCAAGAATCCAAGATCCCTCTTAGGTTTGTACCAGCCACAAATTTGATCAGCAGAGCCTCCAGACTACATTCCTTGACACTAATGAATCAGGATATTGGACAACAATGGAAATAGAAATGAACCTCTGTGGAAATCTGATATTGGGCCAGCCTCCAGCTGTAGTCATTTTGCAGTCAGTAGCTATGATTGCGCTGAGTCATCCTTGAGTCATCCTCTCTTAAATCGTAGGTCACCCAAGGGACAAAGGCAATCTCCACCACAAAATTTAATAGAGTCTTGGGTAAACTTCAACAGCTGAATGTTTGATAGGCAAATAGCCCTATCAAATCTATGTTTCATATGGAGGGGAGGGGAACAACTGGCAATGTGCCCTTAGTTATTATGGGGGGAATATGGAAGTGATGGTGCCCATCCAAAATGTGATTTTTCTCAAGTTGGCATCAGGGCACTCACTTGGAGCACTGAAAAGCCATCACCGTGGCAGCAAGGGCAACTTTTTACCTCTCTAAAAAGGAGCGGCATTTGCTAGCTCTTTTTAGAGTGGCAAAGTACCGAATCAGGACTGTGGTGTGCAGTTGCCGCAGCCCCAATCCGGCAAGGAAAGGGCGGTGGGACACTGTCCCTTAGGGGCAGTCTGTTGAACCCCTAAATCATTTCTGACTTGTGGTGACCCTAAGATGAACCTATCACAGGTTTTTCTTGGCAGAATTTATTCAGAAGGGGTTTGCCCTTGCCTTCCTCTGGGCTGAAAGAGTGTGACTTGCCTAAGGTCACCCAGTGGGTTTCTATGGCCCAGCGAGAATTCGAATCCTGGTCTCCCAGTGTTCTTGTCCAACATTCAAACCACTATACCACATTGGCTCTAAACTCATATATTTAAGAGTTGCCTTTTTATCCAGACAGTTGGGACCTCAAGCTCAGTTCATGGGATCGTGAAAAATTCCCAGCTCTTGGGGAATTTTTGTTTGTTTGTTAAGTTGCTTTAAAACAAGCACATACTTAGCAGTTTAATGTTATTTAACTATTTGTGCCTGTTTTGTGGGCCTGTTCCAGAATATTAGAAACAGAATATTAGAAGCACCTCAAAAGCGTAGGAAAGTAATTTTTGGACTACAACTCCTAGAACCCCCAGCCAGCATGACAGACTATTTTGGATATGGGGGGGGAACTTGATCCTGCAGGTACCTCTCCCCACTTCTGAAAGAAAATATACAATAATAAATTCAATAGTTGATAGTGTGCTGCCCTTTTATGACTGCTGAAACTTGACAGCCAAGGTGATTAGCTTACTCTGCTAAATGATAGGGCCACATGAAGAATATTCCATTATTTAATCTTACAATGATCAGCTCTTTTAAACCATATTGCATTTTAAAATTTCCCACAGTGATTTTTTTTTTTTAAAAAAAATGCAAACATCACAGAAACATAACATTTGAAAAGAAATACAGAGGCTGGCCATTTCCTGATATATTGATTTTCGTGTTCGATTTTCATTATTCATTGTATAGTATGACAGTTTAAGCATTATACATGCATTCCAAATCCTTCAATGTTTTATTCCATTTTATTCTTTTTACTCTTTAGTCTGTTCAGCAATACCAGCAGCCAAGAGCTTCTAAATTTTGTCACAGCTCCAACATACACACACAGCACAATGTAAAGCCCCTTCCCCCACTGTTGGGAACATTACCCAGATATTGTGGAAACTGTTCAAGCACCATGGGATAAAGATATCATCTGAAAGCACCCTTTGTTTTTAAAAACACATCAGAGGTAAAGAAATGATTGAGGGTTCCATGAATAACAGATGTTGGGGAGATCCATAAATTTCCCCATTTACTTGTCAGATCTGTTGGTCAGTTCATTAGACTGCCAAGGCTTCTCGTCTTTCTTACCACACTGAAAAGAAAGCAAATGTTGACACCAAAAACCTTTTTAGTGGTGAGCTCAGCTCAATCTGTCAAGTATGGGAGGACTCAGCCGTTGTGAAGGGTTGGGGGAGGTATGTAAGCACTTAGTGGTTAAACAACAAAGACTGGTCCAGACATAAAAGTCTGTATCTGCCCACCCCCAGTAACTCACAGCACATTAACAGATTGCTATTTTTCCTTCTTGTGGTTGTTGCTTATCAAAGAGGGATGCAATAGACAAAGGGGTGACTAAGCTCTAAAATGAGAGGAGCTTAGTATGGCTCCTATTGGCTTGGCCAAAGGTTCCTTCCATCTATTCAGGACCTGCGCCTGGGAAGATCTGAACTGCAAAGTAGACATCCTGCTACTCTTTACAGCCAAACAGCAGATGTTTTCCCATGTTGTAGTGGCCACATTTTATCATGGGGAGCCATAGGTCCTGACTGCATTGGCCAGGATGTTCCCGAAGCACCCTGGAGTATCCTGGCCCTGGAGCTGCTCTGACCTTCCTCTGTTACCTTAATCCAGGGGTAGGCAACCTTTCCCCTTTAAGGGCCGAGGGACTTCAGCTCCCAGAAGCCTCAGCCATGTTGGCCAATAGTCCCATGTTGGCCAATAGCTCCTGGGATTCTGGGAGCTGAAGTCCCTCAGCCCTTAAAGGGGAAAGGTTGCCTACCCCTGCCTTAATCCAATCCATGAAGATCCAGAGCAAAAGATAGCTTCTTAAAATTCATTTTAAGAGGGGTATGCCCCAGTTTTGGTGCTGAACGTGCCAGACATCTTTTGGTCTGTTTGCACCAGAACCAGGGTTTGGGTTGTGCATCATCCGGTCTCCTATTATTATT